CAACTAAAAAAATAAAATTAAAAATCATAATGAAAAAAAAAGCCATTAATGTGTTTTATTTCTCCCCAAATATAAAGAGTTTTGTATTGAAAATGCACGAGTGAACTTTTAAATCATCTTTGCAAGTGTCACTTGTGGCATTTGATTATTCAGGTTGTGATGAAGGAAAAATAAAATAGAATTACAAACCCCACATTGCACAGATACTGGTGCTGAAGTTGTGTGTGGCTGGGCAGAGACACGTCCTAAAAACCCCTCTTAATTCAGGTTTTTATTTGTTTCTGGGGGTGCAGTTGTGTTTTGTGAACTGTCAAGTGTCTCTTGTGAACTCTCAAATAAATTAGGGTAGAACAGTGTAGATTAGTGTAAATTAGGCAAATAATTTGTAAATATTTTTATTTCATTTAAAATTTGATTTTTTTTTTAAATTTAAACTTTATTTAAATTCAATTTAAATTTTTATTAATTTTTATTTATATTAATACATAATAATCTATAAATATATGATTATGAACTTTTGTTAAATATATAAGTCAGTAAAATAAATATATAAATATGGTATTATTGATAATCTCTTATAATGTATTATAATATACAATATATAAATAAATAAAACATCTATAAATATGATATTATTGATAATCTAGGATAATAGATCTAAGTATCTAAATAAATACAGTAAATATATATCAATGTTATGTTATTGATAATCTATAATATATCTATCTAAGTAAATAGAATAAATGTTATAAATATATAAATGTTATTATATTATTGATATAGTATAATATATCTAAATAAACACAGTAAACATCTATAATATATGTTATGATATTATTGATAATATATAATAACATATTATAACATACAATATATAAATATATAAATAAAATATTTTTAATGAATATATTATATTATTGATAATCTATGATAATATAATATATAAATATACAAATAAAATCAATATATGAAATATGATATTATTGATAATACATTATAATATATTATAACATACAATGTATAAATATATAAATAAAATAAGTTTATACAATATATTATGATGTTATTGATACTCTAGGATAATATACATAATGTATAAATATATAAATAAAATAAATTTATAAAATATATTGTGATACTATTGGTCCTCTAGGATAATATACATAATGTATAAATATATAAATAAAATCAATATATTATTTATTACCTATGATAGTATACATATATATAAAAATATACATATTATATATAAATTATATATATGTAAATTATATACAGTATATAAATATAAATATATAAAATATATAAAACATATGAAATATAAATTTATGGAAGTGTGTGTTTTATTATATTAAATATATAATTAATATTAATATATATAATGTATTATATATTATAAATATATAAAATATAAATTTATGGAAATGTATGTTATATTAAATATATAATTAATATTAATATATAATTAATATAATATATATTATTTATCTATATAATTAATAATTATATATGTAAATTATATTATATAGTATATAAATATATAAAATATATAAAATATAAATTTATGAAAATGTGTGTTTTATTATATTAGATATATAATTATATATTTCTATATTATATATAATATGTATATTATATCTATATAATATATATAACTGTATTATATATAACTATATATATATAACTATGTCTAAATATAGACATAAAACTATACCTAAATCTAGAAATACATATTTAAACGACATAAACTAATTTAATTTAATTTTAATTAATTTAAATTAATTTAATTTTCTTTCGCTTCCACCTTAAAAACATAAACCTAAATAATTCCCAAAAATAGGGAATTACTTAAAACCAATTCCCAAGCCCCATTCCCAGGGCTCATTCCCACCTCGTGTCCTTTCCCTTGCAGCATCTACATCGGGAAGCGCCTGACCACGCCCTCGGCCAGCACCTACTGAGCCCGGGGGGGCCTTTGTGTGTCCTTTAGTTTGACTCGAGACCATCCTCAGCATGCCCCTGCCTCCGCCCTCCCCTCCCATTCCGGGCAGTTCCGCTGGAATTCCGTGGGGCGTTGGAATTCTGTGGCGTTGGAATTCTGTGGCGTTGGAATTCTGTGGCGTTGGAATTCCGTGGCGTTGGAATTCCGTGGTGTTGGAATTCTGTGGTGTTGGAATTCCGTGGCGTTGGAATTCTGTGGCGTTGGAATTCTGTGGTGTTGGCGCTCTGTCGAGGTGTTCGGCCGCTCCCCGTCCCCCTGGCAGAGCTCCCACAGGAGTTCCCTTCCCAGGAGTTCCCCCCTCAGGAGTTCCCTCCCCAGGAATTCCTCCCGCAGGAGTTCCCTTCCCAGGAGTTCCCTTCCCAGGAGTTCCCCCCTCAGGAATTCCTCCCACAGGAGTTCCCTCCCACAGGAGTTCCCTCCCCAGGAGTTCCCTTCCCGGGAGTTCCCTTCCGAGGAATTCCCCCCTCAGGAATTCCTCCCGCAGGAGTTCCCTCCCCAGGAGTTCCCTCCCCAGGAGTTCCCTTCCCAGGAGTTCCCTCCCTCAGAAGTTCCCTCCCCAGGAGTTCCCTTCCCGGGAGTTCCCTTCCCAGGAATTCCTCCCACAGGAGTTCCCTTCCCAGGAGTTCCCTCCCTCAGGAATTCCCTCCCCAGGAATTCCCTCCCCAGGAGTTCCCCCCGAAGGAATTCCTCCCACAGGAGTTCCCTCCCCAGGAGTTCCCTCCCCAGGAGTTCCCCCCGCAGGAATTCCCTCCCCAGGAATTCCCTCCCCATGAGTTCCCTTCCCAGGAGTTCCCCCCGCAGGAATTCCTCCCACAGGAGTTCCCCCCTCAGGAGCTCCCTCCCCAGGAGTTCCCTTCCCAGGAGTTCCCTCCCCAGGAGTTCCCTTCTCAGGAATTCCTCCCTCAGGAGTTCCCTCCCCAGGAATTCCTCCCACAGGAGTTCCCTCCCCAGGAATTCCTCCCCATGAGTTCCCTCCCCAGGAATTCCTCCCGCAGGAGTTCCCCCCGTGGCTCTGTCGTCGCAAGGGCTTCTCTTCTCTCCACGCCAAAACTGCCACCAGCGAGTCCCCTCGGATCCTTTCGTGCCCCCTGAGCTCTGGGCCTGCTGGAAGCATCGCTGGGCAAACAGCCTCTGGAAAGGGAGGGACTGACTGGAGCAGGAAGGAGTTGTTCCGAGCTGGTCGTGGAATCACCGAAGGAATCACCGGCAATAAACCCCCAGTTTAAAGCAGCTTTTTTGGGGGAGAGTTTCCTTGCCCCCCCCCCCCCCCCCCTTGGCACCATTTGATTTGCAGGAGGCCAAGACTGCATCAGTTTTCCAGTAGGATAAACTTAAAAACCCATCAGCATATTTTAATATTAGGTGATTGTTGTAATCTTGTCTTTTCTATGAAGTCGGCTCCTTTATTCCTTGTAGGAAAAAAAAAACAAACCTGTCTGATACCTAGAATATATTAGAAAAAAAAAAAAAAAGGCATTGTTTGCATGTAAAGAAGATTTTTCTTTTTTCCTTTACCTTGTTTTCTGAAGGGGAAATTTGAAATGTGAAATTTTCCTTTTGAAAAGTAGTTTTAAATTAAGGAAAAACCCAACAAGCTGTAGGTGTAGTTAAGCTCTTAAATGTAAAAGGAAATGACTCTTGTTTGTTGTGGAACCATTTAGAACTGAGATGAAATGGCATTTTCAGCCAGCAGATGTTTGATTTCTCGTTACTAATTTCTCATTAAGGGGGGGACAATCTTGCAGGTGCATAAAAAGGTTCAGAAGCCGTGGAATGTCTTCTGCAAATGAATTTTTCCGTGTTCCTCTCTCTCTCATTGTTTACTGTACAATCTCCTTTTTGGGGATACTCTTGGAAACCTGGAAGTCACTCGTGGTGTCTCATCTTAGACAGACTCTCAACTGATGTCGTTGAACTTTTATCTTAGGGAACATTATTAAGCCTTGTCCTCCTTCAGTGACACTTCTTTTTTCAGAAATGTGAAGCTTTAGTACCAAATTGTTACAAAGCATTGGGACACTCGTGTCCTTAAATAGATTTTATTGGAGTTCAGAACATGTAGCATGACTCTGAAGGATAGAATACTCTTTTTTTATATATATATGAATATATAAAAAAAAAATATGATATAGACTTTAATACTAAGTATTTAGGGAACCAATGGTAATTTTAAGACTAGCAAAAATCTTAATTAAATAAAAACTTTAGTTGGCTGACTTGCAGGAGATAAAGAAATCCAGTCAGCCCAGTTTGGAGAGAACAGCTACCTATAATTGTTTGCTTGCATCAGACTTTATAATAAGTTGATTATTTGATAGAGCAGTGATTGCTTGAACCAGTTGATGCATAGAAGCTAAAGCCCAGCTGAGATGTGGTTTAAAAAAAACTTAGTTAGCTCCCAGGAAGTAAAAAAAAGTGCAGTATGACCCCACTGCTAAAGTGTATTTATTTTTATTCTCTGTGTCTGAGCGCTGTCAGACAATGCTTTCGGGGTGACAGGGCAGCCTAACAGCAAATTCTCTGGAATAATCTGCTTTTTTCTCCCCTTTTAGTGGCACTTGAGTTGCCTCCAAGTGTTTGTTTGTTCCAGGCTGGAGATTGGGTTTCACCCAGAGGTGGGGGAGGGCAGGGGGAAGTGCTGGGGGGTGTTTTAGGGAGCACCAAGCACTTGGTTTTACAGCCCTAAAAACCAGGGCAGGGCAGAAAGGCTGAAACACTTTTCAGTTCTAACACAGCACCTTGTTTTCTATGGAAATTGGAGCAGTGGAAAAATAGATTTTTACCAAGCAGGGAGTACTTTTTAAAGAGGAAAAAAAAACCCCCATTTCTGAATTCAAAGGTAATTCTTCAGGATATCTTGCAAGCTTGTGGCTGGAGTATCAACACCACGTGTGAGATTTGAGGTAAAATGAAGTAAAAATTGTACAAATTTGAGCTGAGGTCACTGTAACACTCGCTGGGATACAAAGCAGTATTTATTGATACCCTACATAAGCTCTGGAGGAAATGTCTACAACTTTTAGTTTTACAATGGACAGGAACAGATTGTTGTTGTACAATTTGAAAAAAGGGGGTTTCAACTCTTGACAGTTGGAAGTTTTGTTAAGATAAATGTTGTTTTAAAAAAAAAAAAAAAAAAAAAGCTTTATACCTGTTTACAGTTTTGGAAAAAATAAAGAAAAAAAGAAAAAAACACACAAAAAAAAAAGCAACACACAAAAAAAACCACACACAAAGTAGGCTTCATTTTTCTTACATTCAGTGAAAAACTGGCCTCGACTATTTGTAAATAGGATCAAGAAAAAACAAAAAAAAAGGCATAAACTGGCACCTGAGAAGTGCAGCAGGCTGACCTTAACTGCAGCAGAAAAGCATCTTTACTTACTGTTTTCAGAAGTGAAAAAGCTGAAGATTGTTGGCAATTCAACCTTTATTTTTTTTTTTTTTTTTTTAATTGACATTCGTTGAGATCTTGGAGTTAACTGAGCCAAAGTGATTCTGCATTCTCCACCCGTTAGTTAGCACTTTGTAACATTATCTCCAGTTTACATTGTATAAGTTGTAGCTTTATAAACATTTTGTGCCATTAAAGCTCTCACAAAACTGCTGGTCTGAAATCCCTTCGTGCTGCGCCTTCTCCTGCTTTGTCCTTCTCCCCTTTTCCTTTGGTTTTTTATTTTTTACAGGATTGTTTTGTCTCATGTTTTCAGTTCTGGGTTATGTGGACACCGAAAGCTGCTGTTTAGAGACTGGAATCATTTTTTTTTTTGGTTTGGTTTTTTTTATTATTATTTTTAGTGACCTGGGATCATCAGCTCTTCATGAAAATATTGCCCTGCTTGGCCTTGGTTCCTGTGCCAAGTCCTCCAGCACCTTCTCCAGGAAAACTCTGGAAACAAAAATATTCTGGTGGCAAATGAAATGTCAAGTGGAACTGGTGAGATTTTTGTATAACTGGTGGACTCTGTTGTACTCCTTGTATTTCTCTTCTGTTCCCTAATTCTGTTGAATTTGCAGATTAAAGAGTAAGGGACAAAACCCCTGATTGTTAATCTGCCTCCATGTTCTTGGTTCAAAGGGTGATTTCCTGCAGACTTGTTCATTCCTGGTGGGAATTTTCCCCCTTCTGATCCTGTTACTGCCCATTTTAATTACTCTCTTATGTGGTTTTAATATTTACATCCAGAACTTTGTGAAAATGGGATTTTTTTGCCTTTTTTTTTTTTTTTCATAGGAATAAGATAAAAATATAAATCCTGCTTTCAGAAAGTTTCAAGGTCTGGGACTTGGGCCTGAATTTTGAGTAGGGCTGGGGGCCTGAGCAGGTTCTTTCTTTGCAGCCAACTGAGATATAAACACATTTATTTAGTAGGTTTGCAGGGAAAAAAAATCCATTCTGTGCTTCAAAACCTAATTAAGAATAAATGCAAGATAATATTGCATAAGGGAGCAGTTTCTCTACACTGGGATTATTGTTATTATTATTGTTAATAATAATAATAATAATCACATTTTAATGGAGTTGTGGAACCTTCAAGCTTTTTTCCATTCCAGTACAGGAGTGTTCAAGTAAAGACTGAAGAAAAGGGATTTATTTGTGTGTTTTAATTTAGAGGAGCTCAATAATATCGATTATCTGTTGGAGGTGGTGTCTCTGCAATCAGCACCAAGGAGTTTTATTTCCCCTTAAATTCTGTGCTTAACTGTGATGAAAAGATTAGAATTTGAATTGTTTTAGGAAGAAGTTCACTATGAAAACATTAGAATTGGAATTGGTTTAGGAAAAGTTCACTATCAAAAGATGATTAGAAGTTGAATTGTTTCAGGAAAAGTTCACTATCAGAAGGTTAGAATTTAAATTGTTTTAGGAGAAAGTTCACTGTGAAAAGATTAGAATTTGAATTGTTTTAGGAAAAAGTTCACTATGAAAAGGGTAGAATTTGAATTGTTTTAGGTAAACTTCACTATGAAAAGATTAGAATTTGAACTGTTTTAGGAAAAAGTTCACTATGAAAACATTGGAATTTGGACTGTTTTAGGAAAAAGTTCACTGTGAAAAGATTAGAATTTGAATTGTTTTAGGTAAAGTTCACTATGAAAAGGATGGAATTTGAATTGTTTTAGGAGAAAGTTCACTATAAAAACATTGGAATTTGAATTGTTTTAGGAAAAAGTTCACTATGAAAACATTGGAATTTGAATTGTTTTAGGAAAAAGTTCAAAAAGATTAGAATTTGAACTAATTTGTTTCAGGAAAAAGTTCACTATCAAAACTATTTATACATTTTTGTTGTGCACACACATGAAAAGTCTCTCTAAAATGAAGTCCTGATGCCCTGCAGGTGTTTGCAGGATCTTTGCCTTGTGCTGATGAAAACTCCTCCTGTTTGGGTCTTGAACCCCAAAATGAACCCCGAGGATTCCTCAGCTGGGCCCTGTAGTTCAACCAGCACTTTAAAAACAGCACTAAAACCTTGAAGTACTCCTGGAAAAGCTCGGGCTGCCTGAACAACGCCCTTGGAAAAGAGGAAGCCAAAGGAATTTCCCTTTCCTGGGATCCCTCCCTGGGCCCTGCCCTGGGTTTGAGCTCAGCTCCCCCAGTCCTGACATTAGGGGGAGAGCGAGGGGTGCTTTGCCTTTAGGGAGAGTAAAACATGACTGAACTTCTTGAGCTGCTGCCAGAACCCTGAGGGGATGGGAAGAGGCATTTTCTGTTTCCAGCTGTTTCCTCACACGTCCCTGCTCAGACTGGGGAGTTCGTGGGGAGGGACTTTTGTAGTGGTGTGGTTTTGCTTGACTGGCTGTTTGTTGTCTGAGGAGAAATCAATGAGTTTTAAGGCCAGAAAATACCTTTTTCTGGTGGATATAACAGCAGAGAAGGACAGTCCTACTGCTGTTGAAGTTGCTGCAGTTCAGGTGTGTAATTCAGGTCAAGTCCTTGCAAAGCTGTCAGTGGTGCTGGACCTCCCCCTGGATTGAGCTGTTCCAGCCTTTAACTTCCACCTTCCTTTGGACTTTAAATTTCAGCCACTGGAAATCCCTTTTCATGGTACAGGAAGGAGCTTTTCACTCTCAGGTGCATCTTCTAAATGAGTGTTTTCATGAGAACCTCTGTGTTTTAAGGCAAATCTCCTCCCAGCCTTTTATTTCTCACCTGTAACCTGCATCTAAATGCAGGGAGACTCGTCCACAGAAAAAAATACCTGTGAAAAATCTGGAGTGAAACATTTCTGACCCCTCTTTTCTTTCAAATAAATAATAAAAATTCCTTATTTACTTCAAAAGTGTGGCGTGAGCTTTTGAGCAAACGGAGTGTAAACGGTGCACGGGTGGAATTCCAGGTGCAAACTTCCCCTGTGGTTCTTCCAGCTGGTTCTGTGAGGGGAGCAGGGAGTGTGTTTGTCCTCCAGGAGCTTTTGGGACCATCCTGCCCATGCAGCTGGAACAACCCTCCTCCTCTGCAGCTCCCTGCAGGCTCAAACCCTCTCCTGCTTCTGCATTATTCTCATTATTCCCCACGAAGTTCATTGCTTGGGTGCCTCTGCTCTCTCTTGCCTCACTGAATTCCCTCCCAGCTGCCTCTGGGGAGCTCCTTTTCCCTTCCTTTCCTCATATTTTCACTCTGCTGCCCATTTCTGCTTGAATTCTGTGAGCAAGCAGAGCCTCCTAGAGCCCCCACCTGTGTCAGGAGGAGTTTTGGTTACTGGGGTGAAACTGTTCCCTGCTCTGAGCATTCCCTGGTTGCAGGAGCTCAGCACTTCCCTCAGGTGGGTGTGTGGCCACTTGCAGAGCTCCAGATCTTGCAGGGGGTTAATTTGAGGTCGATGTGTCTAATTGGGGCTGGCACAGCCAGGGGTGGGGTGGTTGCTTTCACCTCCAAGGGAAGTGGGATATGAAGGAAGTTCAGAGTTTCATCAGGAACTGTAGGGTTGGGACAAGGAGGAAGGGGTTCAAACTGAGAGTAGGTGAAATGTTGGGCAGAAATTCTGAATTACAGTGAGATACTGTTGAATTTGTAGGAGGAAATTATTTAAACTGCTTTTGATGGCTTTGAACTGAAGGAGAGTAGGGTAAGATGGGATATTGGGGAGGAATTTCTTCCTGGGAAGATGGGGAGGGGCTGGGATGGAATTCCCAGAGAAGCTGTGGCTGCCCCATCCCTGGAAGTGTCCAAGGCCAGGTTGGAGCAACCTGGGCCAGTGGAAGGTGTCCCTGCCCATGGCAGGGGGTGGCACTGGATGATTTTAAGGTCCCTTCCAACCCAAACCGTTCTGGGGTCATCTGAAATTCTCTTTCCCATTTCTAGGTCAGAGGGTCATGCAGCCTAAACAGGGATTCAGCTCCAAACTTGGAGTTGTATTCTGGTTTTTTCTGTCTCGACAAGTCCAGCTGAAGGCCTGGAGGATGCTTTGTGAGCAGTGTTCCCTCCCAGTGGTGCTGGGTGAGACACAGTTTCTTGGAGCTCGGTTTCCCACAGCAGGGAGGTCTGAGGGAGCTGCAGCCTCTGCCCCTGTGGCAGGAACGGGCTGTTCCTGCTCCTGGCCTTATCCAGTCAGCTCCAGTTGCAGGATTCTTTGTAAAAATACAGATACTTTTTTGTAAATGCTGATAAGGGTGGGAACAAAAGTTCCTGTCAGAGTCAGCAAGAGCAAGATGGACCTGGAGGTGGATTTTTCAGCTTTATCTTTGCTAAGTCAGAATTAAAGCCTTGTGGTGTGTGAGAGTTATACAGAGCTGGAACAGTGCTCAGATATTCTTGTGATGAAGGTGAAATAAGAATCTGTTGGTACTTGTTGGGTTTTTTTAGGTGCTGTGAGTTAGTTGGGTTTAAAGCTCAGTGCCTGGAGGTTTTACTCCAGAGTGCAAGAGTCTCCTTTTGGATCCTCCCAGAGGGCCTGGCTGCTCTCCTCTCACAGGAGAAAGCTGCACCACTACCAGGAGACAGCACAGACTTGCTTCCAGGGTGTACCAGTTGTCATTTGATTTCAGAGTAAGAAGCAAGAGGCAATTAGAGCTGCTGCTTTGAGAGCACTGTCTGACAGGTAGGAGAGACCTCTGGGGTTCCTACAAATTACTTTAATAGCTTCAGCTCCCAAACAGCTTCTCTGGCCCATCTCTTGTGTCTCCTCCCAGACAGCAGCTGCAGGGGGGGTATCTGGTGGAAACACAGAGTGCATTTGAAGGCCTTGATTTGTGGCACTGCAGTTTGCCCCGGTCTGATGTTGGGCTTGGTTTCTCTGTGCTAAGAGTTACTTAAATTCATGGGTGTCCAGACAAAAGCAGAACACGGAATCAC